ATATATATATATCACTTGAATGTTCCTAGAAAAACTTGAAAGTTACAGTGAGAGATAGAACGTGTCCGTCAAACATTATAATTTTTTTATGAATATATCTTCATGGCCATTATTGTACAATTAGCATCGATTATTTAAATCGCATCTAATTGTTATTGCAGATTTTTAATTAAGTTAAATCTAATTGGGAAATAAATTTAATAGCAAATGTATAAATAAAAAATTGATTCAAGTGAATTGATTGATTGATTTGAATGCGATAACAACTATGTATTTGTTGCCTCTTTCGAATTTTCAAATATTCTGTTTTATGTACTTTCAGCGTGTTTCTGGTCAGAGAGAGCAAGAGTAATCCTGGGGCCTTCGTGCTGACCTATAAGTACAACGACAAGGTCTTTCACGCACAAATCCAACCCGTAAGTATTCGCGTCTGATCGATAATTAGCGACAAGTCGAGGCTCTTTTTTGCGGTCGAGTTAACTTCGCGGCGATTAAACGCGAAAAAGTTTCTCCGATCGTTTACTTTAAAGCTTACTCTAAAGCCATTGCGAACGAATTGCTAACACAAGTTCCTAAAAGAAAAAGGATTTTAATCTTTTACCGTCCGAGTTAATTTCATTGGATAAACCGATATTAAAAATAACTGTTTTTATTTTAATATCAGCCATATATCAGCCTAAACTTACAGTAAATTGATTTTATAAGAATTCGATAATAAAAGTTTTTTAGTTAGTTTTAATCTCCTAATTATTTTTCTTCTAATTATTTTTGTCATATGAAAAAGTACGTTTCTTCGCACTAAATTATTACATTCGATATACACGTCTCTTTCACACGACTTCATGATATCTCTTGAATATTTTATATTAAACACTGCGTATATATTCGATACAGACAGATTTGTTTCTTCATTCAAATTATTTTTTTTCAGATCTTTGATGAGCGTCGCAACTGCTGGCTGTATACTCTCGATAAGGGAACGACCAAGTTTTACGATTTGCTGCAATTGGTTGAGTTCTATCAGCTGAACGCAGGCTCGTTGCCTACCCGGCTCACTCATTACGTGCAGAATGGAGTAAAACCGCCGCTGCACAAACCGGAGGACGGCGGGGCATCGCCGTCGCCGCCTGAGAGCAGTAGCCAGCGAATCAACAGCATCGACAAGGCCGCTGAGCCAAGCGGTAATCCGAGCAGCATTTGAGTATAGGACAGTCGGCGACCCGCTTGTGTTGTCGACGATGATCGCTTACTTACCGTTTGCGCCACTACCAATGGGCCCCTCGACCTCGCTACCATCACCGACAATATTGTGATGGTGCACCGTAGCAACAGTAACAACAATCGTCTGGGGAATAATAACAGCAACGGCGGTGGCAACGGGAATCGTGACGATGTCCACACGACACGATCGGGTTGCTGGAACCTGTGTTTTTGCAGTTACAACAAGTGGGATTTGTAGCGCGATCAGTAACGGCAGTAGCAAAGTAACAGGATGAAGTTCAAGCGGATGCGAAGATGTATGGCTGTTTCGTTAATGAGAGAAAGAGAAAGAAAGAAAGAAATAGAACGATGAGCACGAAAGAAGACAAGCGACACGGCTTGAGCATCATCCATCGTTCAGTTATTCTCGGATCGCAACTCGTTCTAATAACGTAGCATGCATGTGTGACGTCACTGGGTCGGCTGACCCGTGCAACAGAACGACCAATTTTTGGGCGCGAGGCACGCAATAATGAGGAAAGATATGATAGCCACGGGAAGAAACCGTAGGATCGCTGTTGTACGAGAAATTGTTCGTTTCAGTTCTTCACGTTTGTTCTGTTGTTCTACTCACGCGAGTCTATAGTAACGCGGCGTCGGTGTCCGCCGACAGCGATCCTCACGCGGAATCCTCAAACGAAACCTCTTTGATGTTTTTAATCATACTGTGTTAGTCGTCATATAAGGATCCATCTTATCGTCTAGACCTTTCCGAATACCTTCCTCCTTTCCTTTTATTTTTCTCTTACCTAAGAGTCTCAGCGATTAAACAAACGATCTAAGTCTAGACGATCAAAGAGGCATCGCGTATTTGTTTCATCTTTTTTCTTCTTTTCTTTCCATTTTCTATATTTTCACGTTCGTGCAAGCATGGCGCGTACGACTAGAAGATTACTAATCGCGCGTGGCGACATCGCCATTCGCGAAGTTATTTCGTGAGAAGAAAGGAAAAGCGCAATTGTGCGCGCGTATATGATGGATGATGTGTTGTATCATAGTATGCTTGCAAGAGAACTGAGAAGAAAGAGATAGACAGAAGCCTGTACGATATAGTTATATAGCTGTATCGTATGAGTCAGTAATTCAAGACAAATACAAACACAGAATTTGGCTTTTCTGCTTGAATGTGTGTGTGTGTGTGTGTGTGTGTGTGTGTGTGTGTGTGCGTGCGTGCGTGCGTGCGTGCGTGCGTGCATGCGTGCGTGCATGCGTGCGTGCGTGCATGCGTGCGTGCATGCGTGCGTGCGTGCGTGCGTGTGTGTGTGTGCGTGTGTGTGTGTGTGTGTGTGTGTTGTGCGTATGTGTATGTATATATGGAAAAGAAAGAAATTGTCGCGTGGTCTCCCCTTCCTCCCTTATCCTTTTTATTTCCTCGTTTTTCTTTCTGGCGCGCGTCGCGCGTACCAAACATCTCTTCTGTTTAGTCGTTTCTCCGAAGAGAATGCGCGACAGAGTCAATCGCGCGATTAGCTACCATATAACTTTGTCGCCTGACGACAATGACAGGTTAAAATGACGAGAGAATCGACCAAATCAAGAGAGAGAGGAGAGAGTGCACGAAGCGTCCGCGTGTTCCGTTCATTAGTTGTAAGAGAGATGTTTCAAGCAGAATTACTTGGAAATGATAAATATCGAGGTTCACGATTATTTCCGAGTCCAAGATGTTCAAAATTAGCGAGACGGTTTTTTCGATGGGACAGGGGCAACGGAAATAGAATATAGGTTTTATCGTAGAAGTGTCGAGAGTCTCGCATTTTGTTTTTCGCAAAATTTTTATTGCGGCTCGAAAACGCGAATTTTCGCTGCGGGACGAGCCCATTACATAAATGAATTTAAGAAATACAATTAATTAGTATAAGGATCCTCGATGCACGCCTACGTCGAGGGCCGAGGAACACGCTCGCGGATTCTCGTGGTATTGTAACGCGCGCCGAAAAATGTGAAAGCGTGTCCCTTGGCAAATATGATCTCATATTTTACAGATGTTTCAGTTACGTGAGGCATTTGTTGGTTAATACGAATTCGAAGATGAGGTTCAATTATAATTATTATAAAACTGTACTAGGAACGCGTAACATTGAAATAAGAGAACGAAAGAGAATGAGTGAGAAAGGTTTCGGTAGAAGAAATGTATGTATATGTGCGAGGAGACGAATAAGGAAGAAGTTGAGGACGAAGTTGATCAGGTGGTAAAACAAAAAGAAAAAAGTATATTTAAATACAAAACAGATATATATACATAATATGTATATGCATGTTCTAAATTGTACAATTTAATTTTATATTCGGGATATATATTATATACTATCGATTGGAAAGAATCGATAGTGCGAAGTTCGTGGATGCAGCATCACCGGCTGCGAACGTTGTCGTGCATTCTAGATTTATAATATGGAAGTTTTTAACGTAATGTTTTTCGAATAATAATGCGAAAGTCATAGAAGACGAAAACGGATTGACAGGAGGTGGAGTGTGCAGGGTATGGACACAGGAGAGAAATTTATTTACGCAATGTATTATGATTTGTCGAAGGAACAATACCAAACCCCCTGCCCCCTATTTGTACCTACTTTTTAATGATATATTTTTTCATTGATTATATATTTATTTAACGTCGAAACGTAGCGCCTACGCGTCATGTCTTGAAGTAATTTTTTAATTCGAAGAAGAGTGCAGATCTTACACAGATAAACACATACACAACGGACAACTCAAGAAAACACACACACACACACACACACACACACACAAAACACATGGACACAAATTGCATTAAATTTTAGAATAGTAGCGCTTTATAGAACTAAATATTAGGATAACAAATTCTTCGTGAATGGGTATGAAAAACAATCTTCTGTAGGAAGGGTGGTCCACAAACGCGGCGTTCATCCCCGACCCGTTTGCGTAAAGTTCTCTACTTCTTACGAAATTTAAGTTAAAGTCGAAATCAACGAAATTACCTCTCGGAATACGCTTATCGCGCGCAAAAAAAGAAATTGTCCTTTCGGCCTTTCGTGTAAATATGTCTATTTAGGCCAAAATCCCGCGTCTCCTTCCGAGTTTTCCTATCCCTACTATTCCGTCTACCCGTGGCTCGTCGGTTGTGAAAATCAACTTTGATAGCGGTTAATCAATCTTGATTCTTCAGGTCGACACTGCGGTATCCTGCTTCCTCCTCTTTCATTTTATAATCCGAAAAACCGAACGGAAAACGAGACAGACGCCGGGTTCTTCGTGGCCACCAGCGTAAAAGAAGCTATAAATATTATTATTATTAATTACCTACATAAATTATAATAAAATATATTTTGTATTAATGTAGTCACGAATTAATACGGCAAACGCAGTGGTCTGTGAAGACTGAATCTAAGTAAGAGAACGCAAATTAGTCCTGTGCGAATTTCATCGACGTCTGTTAAGAACAATAAAATGATCAGGTAACGGAACGTTTACAATTGTGTTTTTATTTCTATCCCCGGACTAGAGTGTGTTTCGTTGATGGGTTATATTTTATTACTTCGGCGCTTTGTTTGTTTTATTGTTAAGTGTTATTATTTTAATTTAATAATTTTTATTTCTCACCCGTCTATCTTTGAAAAATCGTTTTACCTTTCTTCTTTATGAAAGCTATGGCCACAACTTGGAGTACGTCATCAAGGAACGCTCGTGCTCGCGTATGCGATTGAATTATCCTCAGACGTTGATGAAACTCACATTGTCATTCTGAAAAACGATATATTCCGACGCAGAGCCCGATCTCGTCGAATTGTTCCTCAAACTAAATCAATCGCACGAGTTCGATTGTACACAAGCGGCACACAAACGAAAAGTCAAGTCTATAGCGAATGAGCGAAGATCCGAATGAACATATAGTATCGTAGCCGCTAGTTCGCTCGCAAGGATAAACGGTAAACGTACAAGTTCCGGCCAGGCTTTTTGCTGTTGCACCCTTGCGTAATCTGCAACACGCAAAGGCAGCTTAATTCGTAGAACATACGTGTGTGTATGTATGCGTGTGCGTGCGCGCGCGCGCGCGCGCGCGTGTGTGTGTGTGTGTGTGTAATATGATGATTATATTACTGATTATCTATCTGTCCATAATGGATCTCGATTAGAAAACGAGACGTTAATAGTTTTTATTTTTTCAGCTTTTTATAAAACAACATTATGTGTTTATTAATTACTTAGTTTGTAATTCAAAATTTTTTTATATCTATTTTTTCATTAGTTTCAAAATTGCTGATTTTAATTTAACGAGTTTAATTAGTAACGATCGAGTTATCAATCGGAATTAAAATTCGTGATACTAGCGATTCGAGATGAAGAGTTTTTTCGCGAATTTTTGAATTCTAACTTCGCAATCGAGTTCGATTCATCCGGATATAGAAACTAGTCGGTCCGTATTGACAGCATTAGTAGAACTATCTCGCGATAAAAATAAATACGTTAATAATTGGGGAATGGAACGCGAAAAGTTTTCCGATTACAATGTTGAACGTACAATTATGTGCTCCCCATTGACTAATTACGGATTGCAATCGTAATAGTAATAATGATTAATCGCGATCTGGCATTCGCTCGATTCGCGATAAACGCATGTCGCGAATGAATACGCTTCAGAGCGAGAGAGAGAGAGAGAGAGAGAGAGAGAGAGAGAGAGAGAGAGAATGTGTGTGCATGAGATAATTACTCTGGTTGGAAAATTGCGCGAAAGTGCCCTTGCTGCCCATAATTACTGAGGGAATTACCAATTGTCATTTGCGATGTATGAGCCATCGAGTATGACAAATTGAAAATGATGTTTCTAATTTGTTCATCTTTTCATCGATATTTCTCAATATTTTTAGTCCAAAATTTCATATCAGAGGATAATCGGATATTTAAAAAAAAGTATCATATGATTATAGAGATATTAACTTACAAAACATAAAGATAGATGTTATGTTCCCTAAAATTTATGATTCACTGTTATCAAGTTATATCACTATTCTACCTAACGGTTCGTGCTAGATAACCAAAGGGACTAATGTTCCATCAATCGACAATCGCCGAGTGCATCCTTAATGATGACAAGTACCATGGGTTCGATAACTTCCGGTACCTGCGATCAACGAGTATGCGCTCGTGGGCTGAAAACGGAGTCAACCGTGGCGTATCCATGGTGCAATCCCATCGGAACATTTCAGCCGGAATGAACTCGCTTGAGGTAGAGGCGAATTAAAAGAAGAAGAGGGTGTGTTGTGTGCGTGGTTGCGTGCGTAGATACGGCGCGTCGGATGCGCCCGACGGAGTTCATCAAGTTTCACACAAATAGAACGTGTCGATCGATATCAACGCGGATACGCCAAAACCATGCAAAAAAAATCTGCATTGTGTTTTGAGTAGCGAGCAGGAAAGGCAGGATGACCGGGAGCAGCAGAATACTTTATACAGGGTGTTCACGACAATTATTGTGTTAGTAATCACGAACGATTAAAAACAAAAAACGCACAAATTATCAGACTGAGATCCTCTCGAGGTCCACGACTGTCATAAGGATTTTCATTCCTATTAAAAAGCGACCGGACGCGATCGAAGGTTTCCGCAAAAGGATTCGCTCGCGGATGATGGTTCGTCTCTAATTCATCTCGAATCATCCCTCGATCATTCGCAATCAATTTCGTGAATTACTGTCATTCACGTCGCGGATACGTCCCTGGTTGATAAATATCTCCGGAAGTGATCTTGATACCCACGATTCACCGAAATGTTTTGATGACTATTTGATTACATTTTGAATCAATAGCGATATATGCAGACCGGGAGGGTCCAAAATTATTGCGATAATTTTCAACAGCGGGCACAATCGCGCCGGATATATCTTCAATGATTATGGGGACCAACGTTAGCGTGATAATTTATGGGTACCTATGGTCAATGAGCAATATACTCAACCAGGGGTGTCGTGAAATTTTTTCAAATCTCTTAGGATTTTTGTTTTTAATAGCGTTTTCACATTATCGTGCAACGCGTAACAATTTGATAAACATTTGAATCAACATGAATATCGAAGTTCCAACGAAGAAATGAGACAAAAGACGATGTCCGCGAGACTCGCTTCCGGTTTCCGAAATTGTTTCGAGAAATTTTCGACGGCTCGCAGCATCTTTTTCATACAAGCAGAAATAATAGCACCAAAATGGCTCGACATATCGACCTCCTACTCGACAAATCGCCCCCTCAATCAACTTCTTATGCGCAATAATTCCTCTGGAACAACAATATTAACCTGCAATAATAATGTTAGCACCTGTAGCGCCGCGGATACGCGAGAGTCATTGTTATATCTTTGTATGAACATTTAATACGCAATAAAAATATGTATGTCGTCATCCCACTATGTGCGGTATACGCTTTACTTCCCCAATATCTATTTGCATAACTGTCTTACATCGCTATCTCGTTTTGCATTGCAAGTGAGCACATTTTGTCGATAACAAATATTACATTTATTTTGTATGTATTGACACTGTTAGTCGAATATTTTTAACACGTTCCATCAATATTAAAGTAACTTTACTATCACACTACAAGTGATCACCGGTGATCCACGATATCTTTGTACTTATTATATTTATTAAATAACGTGTATTTTTATAATAGTTAAAAAATTATGAAAATTATTATTAAAGAAGACCTAATGTTCCAATAATGTATCATAATTATTCATGTATGATAAAAAATATTATTTTATAATTCTTTTCTTTTTTTATATAAAATATCAGTCTGAATGAAAAATAGGTCAGTGACCCATGCAACGCGGAACATGTTAAATTCTTATAAATAAATAATTTTACACAGAAAGAACTGTTTTGTTGTCTAAAAATTTAGCTAGAGATCTGAAAATAATTTTATCAAACCATAAAAATAATTATGTAAGCTTAAACTGATTGCAAGAATGTTATTTTCAAATCTAGCTAAATTTTTTTTCTATCTATAGTGAAATTTTATGATACTTTAACAAAATCATTCCTTCTTTGTACGTATTGGGTTGTCTGGAAAGTTCGTGCCGACTAATCTATATAATTTAATAAAGGTATACAGAAAATTTAAATTTTCTGCGTTTCAATTTTCCTTCAACATCGGCACGAACTTTCCGGACAACCCAATAAGTAATATTAACTTTTTTACGGCATAGTGATCCACCTTTCTCTATTTAATTTCTCATAATTCCTAAACATTTTTACATATTTTTTTACATTTTTAATTCTTTTTTTATACTTGAGTTATCTGTAAGATGTAATGGTATCACACTTTAATTTCCAAAAAATCTTCCGAATTTTATTGAACTCGAGCTAATAGAAAAAAATACGTCGCAAAGAGTTAAAGGAAGTTCTATAATTGAATTAAAAATACATAAAAGACATATCTTTTTACGTAGTTTATATTTCATTACATAATTTATATATAAAGATTTATCTCTCTTTTGGCAAAAATGGATATATATTCTTTTCTAAAAAGACAGAGACATTATAAAAACGTAAAAATCAGGCTTCTGTCAGTCTTCAGTTTCCGGAAGATGCATCGACATCTTCCGCGATCAGAATCACGTGCTTGACACGTCAACACGTGCTATCGTCGTCGACGACTGCAGATCTCCGATGGCAATCGAACATCGCGGATTGCAAGTGCGCGCGCAAGCTGGCAACAGGTAAATGGCAGGTGAGAGAGAGAGAAAAATGGTGAACAGGACGCAGGGAGAAGTGGCGGAATAGGTGAACGCGATGGCAGGGAGACAGGTGCGCTGGTTGGAGGGACTGCGACTCCCCGAAGAAGTGGGAGTCTCGGAACCTGATGGAACCCGTCGTCGCCACCAACTCGGTTCGGTTTAGCGTTCTTGCGATCGACAGTCAAGCGTGGAGGACCGTCGATGGTACGCGTTCACAAGTTTGCATGCGAAACGAATACAATGTACGCGCGTGCGTTCGCGTTCACCGCGATGCAGGAATCCGAGGACGTCGGGGTGCGTAGCACGTGATTGTGCGTGAGTGTGTGAGTTCGTGCATACGTCCGGGGCGCGGACTGCGCTTTACGGATGATTTCGGTAAGTGAGTGATCTTTATCGTGTTTTTAATTGTTACACAATTGCGCAAAGATTTGACAGAGTTTGGCGCGACTCGTTTCTCCATGATGTTGCGCCATAAAATTCGGTAAACAAATACTCAAATTTTATAGTTAATGTGAGGAAACCGTAATCTTTAATTGTTTTTTTTGTTTTTAATAAATTTAAAAGACTTTTCTTTCTGTCTGCAACATACAATATTTATTATACGACAAAAACGTCCGAACGATGAATGGTTTAGGATTATTTGAATGCTTCTCTGTAATATTCTCTTTTTGGAAAATAACTTTCTTTGTGTGTACGAATGTCTTTAATTTTACACATATTCGATCGAGAATATCGTTACCATTGGGAGAATATTATTGTCCATGACTTGACGAGCTTATCGTTGTCATTAGATGCTCGAGAATCCGATTACCGAGCTACTCGAATCGAATTAGAGCTGATCGGCGCATAGATGCGAAGTGCGCACATCGAAAACACGCGTTTCGTTGGACGATAATGCAAGGAGGATCCGCGGAGACTTCAACGATCACATAGTTGAATACATAAGACGAGGCTTGACATTTATCAAGATAATTTCACAATTTATTCGTATCGCATTGATCCACTTGCTTCTATATGTATAATATCGATCTCCGCTACTTGGAAGTACCGATATACAACACCATATGTTAGAATTTACAATGTTCGGGAAAAATTACTAAAAATTTTACTTAAAGAATTTTCTGCCTAATTTAGAGTCAGTATTCCCTTCTACCGTTTAACAAAAAAGTAAAAATTATCAAAAATAAAAACCTACGTTTGTTGTTAAAATAGATTAATATATGAATAGCATAACATAAAGTAATAAAATTCTCATTTTTATTTCAAGCTTTAAAATTTAAGATTACAGTTTGATAGAATTTCAAGATTTTGTTTTGACAAAATGTTAACTTTGTATTTGATTAACAAAAAATAAGTTATGAAAAGATTGTGACATCCAATTGAACTTTTCCTAAATTATCAACTCGAAACAGAGCCAAAGAATTTTGTAGATTCTTTTTTTTAATATTTTCTCACAGTTCAGAGATTTATGTTTCATTCATGCAGCTTTCAATGAAATGCATATTTCCGGTATCAGACGATGCTTTCCGAAAACTCATTAAATATACATTAATACTTGCTCGAGCAAGGACAAATCAATCAAGTGCGACGTTACACTGCACTGTTGCAATCGTTATTCGTGTGGAAAATCGCTTGGGAAGCTTCTGAAATCGAGTGTTAGACGATGTTGTAATAAGAGTGACTAACTAATAATTAATTAGTACCTAATTACACACGCTTGTCGCGCAACGTTTGTCCTAGTTTGCACGTCGATTACGCGGGATTAGAAAATGCGGAATTGTGATTGCATCGCGAATGCAGTTACTTCTGAGATTGCTACCACAGCATTTGCGACATTTCGTCATAAACAAGATGATCGCGCGTGTACGGTGTGACGCGGCTTCGCGCGACAAATTCTGACGTCAAGTACGTGACAAGACTGGCTGCGAGTTACGCATAGCGTTATCAATGGGCAAAAGATGTTACAAGAAACGAAATACCAAGTACGTGTGACGATATGAGTCAGCTTCTAATTAAAATAACTATATGTAGTGACTGATAATTTCGTATTACTATTTGCTAAATTAGCACTAAAACAGGAAATACTCTGAACGTTTGTTTGACTGATATCTTTTTATCGCGTTCAACTAAAATATCTAAATACTGATAGCTTTTTAGCTAAAATCGTTCAAATGTTAATAGGTTTTTTAGTACAAATGGATAGTGAAAATGACATGAATAATGAAAACATCTAAACATAGGTTTTGAATTATGCTTTGAATTTCAAACTAATATGCGAAAAAAAACAAGTAGAAGGAGCAAAAAGAATTCCAAATCTTGTTGTCAATCATAATGTTTGCACACGGGAAATAATTTCAGTGTTTAACGATATCGAAACAGAAATTTCTGCAACAATATAGCATAAATCTTATGCTATTACAGCATACAATTTCTCACTTATATGAATAATCGATCACATCACGCTATTTAATATCCGATAGACGACTTTGATTTGTGATTCATTCCTTTGATCGTAGTCGAAGTTTAAGAGCGAATATCAACGATGTTCGGGTTCGCCATGCGTAAAAGCCTTCTCGTGAACCAGTCAAGCAACATTCCTGTGTCCCGACCGTGCATGTCCACCGCCTACCTCTGACTTCTCTATTCCGACTTTCCATGGCAAACGTCTCTCGATGCAGAGTTCGAGCAAGGTATACTTAGCAATGTTTTCCGTTATTGTAGATTGTAACGTTAAAAACAGTAAGATCGAGATATTGCTTAATGGAAAGTAGACCTGAAAGCTTGTCTGAACGTGTGAGAATGCGATAAATAAACGTTTTAAAATAATATTGAGAGACAGGCATCGTGAAGAAAATAAAGTAGCTCTTAATTATTTTGAGAGACATCGCCATTGAAATTCTTTAAATACGATGGATTTAAATGTGTGAATGATTATTAATTATTTATATATATAATAAATCAATTTTTTGAAAAAAAAGAATTTACAGAAATCAATTTATATATAATATAATTTTTTTTAAATAGTATCTATTAATATATAATATATATTCATGAAATTTTGATCAATTTGAAAAATATAAGAAATTTTTCTTTCAAAAATTAACTGTGTATATGTGTGTAAAAAGCTTTCCTATTTGAAATTATGAGTTTTAATCTTCGAACATATAATGATTAAGTATATTCTCCAGTACGAAATAATCATATACTTTACATTGTCATTCTAATTATTTATTTTACTTTGTAGCCATATTATGACATAATCTAAATTATATATTGGGTTGGTCAGAAAGTTTGTGCCGATTTTTTTAGCTCAAACCTGTACATAGAATATATTTATTGTTGGTATTATACCACTCAATAGAGCAAAGTTTTACTTTTAAAAATTGATTTTTTAAATTGCAATACGATGATTTTTAATAAAGTTTTAATAAAGTTATGAGCTCGATTATAATCAAAGTGCACCTTTTATTTATTTTTCTCGATAACTCAGTAATAAAAAATCTGAAGAACATTTTTAAAAAACGATTTTGTAGGGAAAACTTTAAGCTTTCACTGAGATGGAAAGCCGAAAATTTTCATAAATTGTTTTTGGGCAAATGATAGATAGACTCAAAGTTAGAAGAAAATTTTCCATCTTTTTCAGCTCGTAGTTTTCTGTATGTAACAATTACCAAACTTACAGAAATTCAAAAAACATAATAACTTTTCGAAAATAGAGATTTCAAGCTTCAAAACCGATTTTTTAAATTTAAATTTTTTAATTTTTGATGAAGATATTGTAAATATAATTTTGTGTTAAAAAATCGGCACGAATTTTCTAACCAACCTAATATACATCGCATAAATCAAAATATTTATTTAGTTGTATTGCATCAAATAAGAAAATAAAAATAGTATTTGCACAAACTGTAGCATAAATTCTTCTTTATCTATACATTGTAACTTTTTTACCTTCTTCATTCATATTTGACAAATATTACAGGAATACTGAAATACACTTCTTATTTTGTCTACATTTCTCTACATTAAGTATTTGAATAAAATACGTCAGGTATTATTTCCCGAGAATATAACTTTTGAAATTCAGGGACTTAATTGATTTTAATTGATATTATTTGAAATTATTTTCTGCAAAACAATAGAATTTTGAAGTTTGAGAAATATTTTATAAAATTATCGTAAATACATATGTATGTTATACGAAACATAAATATAAATAAACGATACAACAATTTTTATCATTTTCATATTCTGTTCATTTTAAATAGTTTTTGCTATTGCTTTATTTTGTACGATTATTTGAGTTGATTGCACCATGTGTTCGCATTCGATTTTCATTTGTTACAACACCAGGCAACACCCTAAAGCATTGTGCGTCGAGACGTATTGTGTTCCATTCGGTACCAGATGTACCACAGCGCTCACTGATCCCACGCAGCGAGTAACAA